ATCCGGGTGCAGCTGAAGAAACCTGCTCCAATATCCAGACCACGTGCCCTGGCATAGCTGAAGGTTGGGAGAAGACAAACCAGCCAAATGAAACCAAAGGTTGTTTTCGACTATATATTTCAACCACGTCGTCGGGCGGATCCAATCTATACAGAGCCTTTCCCCTAGATGCATTTCAGAGAGTTCCAGCTCCAATCTCAAGCCTTGCCGCTTGATAACTCTCTGCACATCACGCTCCGAGTTGCAAAGGCTTGACTTGGCCCAATCCTGAACTCCAGCTGCGGCCACAGCCGCCTCTCCAAACTGCTCTGTCATCGCCCTCGCGAACTCTATCTGCGACGAGCAGCTGGCCTCGGCAGGCTGTTCTGATGAACATGTTGGGAATTGATATGGGGAATTTCACAAAGCACTGCAATGCATCAGTAAAGTGACTGTGCTTGCTGCATCACTGTATTCATGAACTGAAGGAGGCACGATGACAGCGCACAATGACAGGCAACACAACCTTTTGCAAGCAGCCCTGCTGTTGTCTGCATAGCAATTATGAAGTGGTTGCACAGCCATATTTACAGCGAATTAAAAGAATTGGGCAGCAGTCAAACCACTGGGAATTGGCATCTTTGCCTTCAGGCAAAGCAGCATTGAAGCCATCTTTAACACTTCAGTCCATTTCACTTCCCGGGCTGTTCTCCTCTTTTCGGCGGCGGATGCTTGAAAGATCTGGAAACGACGTACGTGAAGTATGGCCCACTCAAAGAGTCATCTTTTGGCATCGTATCGCCTCCCAGGTTCTCGTTGTGGCAGCCACTTCGTCCTGAAACAGTGCCATTCAAAGCGGAGAAACACAATGCAACATGCCTATGCGAGGTGAAAGAAAGTACATGTGACGGATCGTGCTCACATGTGGGAAGCCCTTATACACGTACATACATACACAAACAAACAAACAAACAAACAAACAAACAAACAAACAAGCAAACACACAAACAAACAAACACACCAACAAACACAGACACACACATAAATATATTTTATGAAGTGTATATACATACATACATACATACATACATACATACCTACATACATACAGACGTATATCCATATATGCTCATGTACATATATTCATATACACAACTATACATATACACATGTAGAGTTACCGAAACAACCAAAATAGAAGCAACAAACAAACACTAGATAGCAACTATGTATATATATATACACATATTTATATTTATACACACACAAAGACGCATAGGAGTTATGTGGAAGCTACCAATAGCAAGTTCTTTCTAACAACATGCAATTGCCGGTATAGGTCTGTACAATCAAGGAAAGGTTTCAGTGCTTTCACAAACAAGCACATGTGAGTACCTGCATACAAGCACACACACAGATATATATATATATGCATACATATATATATATACATATACAGAGACACACATATCGTTACTTGTGTCTTGTGAACTTGTGGAAGAGATGGCAGTATATACACAATATATAACAACTAGGCCTATCCACGAATAGACACTTCTAGAGCATGTAGGCATCTGTGTACGAACACTGCACACATACACAGCGTGCGAAAGACAAAACCTTATTCATACACGTACCTATACAGAGGCATGTGTAGGCACAACAAATGTTGTTCATGTGTTCGATTAAGATAAACCGGTCTACCGAAAAAAGAGCATGCATGGCATGCACACATAGCTGATCGTTGCTTCCCAGCCACCCTTGTAGAGATTGACCAATGCAGCTTCCAGGAACCCAGGCCCTACAGCATCACTTGCAGCATATAGGATGTCCATCCTTTCGTACTTCTGCACACACTTCGCATAGCCATAAATAGGGTTTGACCATCGGAAGACAGGATCATGCGTGAATCCGAACTTAAAGGACATGGGCTTGTTGCGACTGTGAAGATCCTCGAAAACCTCGATCGCGTGTCGAAGTACCGCACCAGGTGTCCCGGATTTTCTTGGGAGTCGCAAGTGTAATCTCTGGTCCTTTTCTATGCTGCCAAGAACGCAAGGGGTACGGGGCAAAGAGGCAAGTGCTAGGTCGAAGCCTCTTAGGCTCCCCGGTAGCTCGTCTCCACCTGCCGAAGTCAAACCCCTCGTTGAGCAGCGTCCGGCTTGCCATGCATATGGCCCAAGGGCTTCCTCGGCTGTCGAGTAGTCAGCTAGTTATGTGCAAGGGCTCTATCTAGCGATGACGAGATAGCCGTAATTACATCATCAGCTACCGAGAGATGTCTAGATTGCATCATCCTACGTACAAGACAGGGCTGTTGTGTCATTTCATAGTCAGACTAATCCAGGGACTGCAGGGTTCAAGTCTGGAGGCATATGTGGGCTGTATGCTTTGCTCAAGCTTTGGTTTGATTTGGGTCATTTACCTCTGTTGACGATGCTACGACTACTATATACGGTTCAACACTTCCAGTGTATAAACACTACATAGCCTGGGCATTGTTATCGACGAGTGGCTCTTATTGTAAATGAAATGACTGTGTTATGTTGCCAGTGTTAAATTGCTTCATTAAACATGGTAAATAGTCGGGCACTTCACGTTTATGGGTGTGTAGCAATTTCGTCGGACGAGGAACCCGAGCTATGCTAAGTACGGCCCGAGGTAACCACCGAATACATACATATATATATATAGATAGATAGATAGATAGATAGATAGATAGATGTGAATGTATATATATATCGATAGAACCTAGATATGACTGGGTCCAGCCGATGCCCCTCCTATCCAGAAGCCTGTGTGCACTCAAGCACTAAGTGCCTTTAGACTCTTCTTGATTGGCACTGACCAACAAAATCCGACCCAGCTTTGCACAATCTAGTGTACTGAAACCACGAAGTTGAGGCCGCATAGCCCCTACTAGACCAAGGCCAAATCTAGTTTATCGTACAAAGCTTCAACCGATGAACATATCACACCCATACTGAACGATGCCACTAGCCTGAGATGAATTAGTTCTGTACAAGATGGATTAATGATGATACCTGAAACCACAAGCTTCGTGACGGGGATCGGAGCGGTGGCAGGACAGCAAGTCCAAGAGCTCGTCATCCGTCGTCTCATCACTCGTGTTCGACATGCCACAGCTGAGCAGGGCAAGAGCAGCAGCACGACCAGTTATTCAAATATGCATTCACAGCCTACATGCTTAGCCCATGAAGGAACTTATGCCGATACATATGTGCATGATTAGAACGAGCTCGCGCGTGCACACCTACCACACACTATATATGCCATATATCACTTAACATGTAGGCCCTATATGTAGGCACCGCACAAAGACCCACTGTCATTGCATCGCCGTGGCAGAGATTGTTATTAGCACGACATAAATTAATCACATGTAAGGTACTCGACTCCTAGTACACAACACCAGCAGCTTGAGCAATGGGATGAGCCGCGAGCTGTCTTGGAATCCGAGTGGCATTTCTAAAAGTGCACTCGCTACGGCTCCCACTCACAGATCCTTGTCTTCATGGCAGTATAGAGTTGTACTGTTGTCACTTCGATCCTTGAAGGATGTACCGTGCATGTACTAGACATTTTTTTAGATATGTATATACACAACGTAGGCGTTCAATCTTCATGCATGGGTGTACTCACAATATCTCAGTGTGTCTCCACTTCTATGTCTACTCTAGTTTCAGCCGTTTGTCTATGCATCCATCTAAGCACAGGCATACACTGCATTGACCGATCAGAAGCAACCTGTAGGTTCATTGTATGTCAATTTATACAAGCACAGAAGACATGCATATTGTGCACACACACACACACCTCGTCCCTTGCAGTCTGGTTCGATGACAGTTCTCTGGAGCTTGTGGTGAAAGGCTTGGGGATTTTATTTAGTCTATTTCAGGCTGCTGATTGGACCAAACACACATGTGGCCAGCCGTGTGGAAACAGTCCCGAGGTATCAGCTGCACATTGTCATCCCATGACAGTTTATTTTACACCTAACCTACCCGAGCTATCCATCCCTCAGCCCTACGACCAATTGAGAAAGCTAGTATAATAAGATGAAACCGCAGACAGCAAAAATACCCGATCCCGAGACACTTCCATCCCCTAATCTCCAACGTCAGACATATGAGGCGAGATCAGAGCCTTCTTTCTACCAAATGGGAGAGAGCTTAGAGTACTCTAGATGGACAAGGGGGTTGCTTCAGGGCTTTTATGGGTCAAGGGGTATTATAGGCTTGACTAGTCTAAGTAGCGGGGCTTCACAAGCTCTGTAAGGCGCGAGCCCCATTGCTGACGTTCCTCGCCATCCGACGAGTAACCGGGCCACGACCTGGCGCTTTCAAGTTCTTGCTTCATAAGCCTTTCATGAAATGGTGACAACAGAATCAGTTGATGCTCTTATGATATTTTTTCTGGAACGTTCTCGATCAGAGCTAGCCTCCTTGGAACTGACTTGCGAGGATCTGCTGTAGCTTAGGCCTGTTCACAGAACTATGAAAATTGCTTGGCCAGCTCTCCTCGCTCAGGTAACTGCTGCAGCTACACCCGACGCAGATCTGCACTACAGAAATGGCACCATTGTCCGCATGGAAAGATAGAGAAACTGAACTCGCTAGATCGAGGGATAGCTGCAGGCAGCTTCATGTTTGCAAAATTTGAGTGTGAAGGAGCACACACAAAGTATGATCGGAAGGCTCATAGGAGTCTCACATGGCCTAGCAGGCATCACTCCTCACCCTGTTCAGGCTTCTTCTTGAAGTGGCGCTTTGCACTCCTCGGCTCATGTTGTTAAGAGGGTTCGCTTGGGGTATATATGCACAGGCCATTGCAGGATGTCACACAGGATTGGTCCAGGCCATGAGTGATCAGACCCTGACAAAGCTAAGGCTTTGTCTTCACTTTGTTCTCGTTGGAAACCACCTTGGCAATCCTGGGCTTCAAACAGCACTGGGGCGGCTGATGTACGTCTACTGAATATATTGCAGCAGCTTGTCCTACTACAGATCCAGGATTAAGCCCGGTTGCTTGTACGTCTCATCCCTCATCTTCGCTTCGCTCTCCTTGCGCCACCTGAGATGTTCAGACGGGTTCAGGTTTCAAGGTCCAGACCAGTGTAGCATGTACGAGAACGTGCAGGGTCGAATGCATATTGATGTATATTGATGTGGATAGGTGTATATAGGCAACGTACATGGCCATATATTGCTACACACATGTCAATCGCTAGCAGCCTACGTAGGCATGGACTTTACTCAAGAAAAGAGTATCAGTAGACAGGCTACACATGCACATGTGGTGCCACATGGCAGTCTATCGTCACAGTAACTTATGACCTTTCACCAAATACAAGCAACATGACTACTGCACAAGATCAATAACAAAACGTTTGGACAAAGCGACACTGTGTAGGCATAGATGAAGCCCTGACTTTTAAGAAGTAGTCGAAACCTCGCCTGTCATTCTAGCCCCTATATATGTATATATACACGTATGTATATATATACATATATATATATATATTCAGGTACCGAATCACACCGCTTCGACTATGTTACCATCCCGACCTCAGCCAGTTCATGACAACCATACATCTTGCATCCATACCCCAGTAAGCAAGCCCAGCTCTACACGGCCAGATACATGTATATATATATATACATGTATATACATTCATATATGTATATTTTCATAGATAGAGACCGAGAAAGGCTACTTAAAACGATTAAACAGCCACGGCTAGACAAAGCCACCTGCAGCACCCGGTCGTTTCCTGCTCGAATTCAGGCTGAACTGGCGATGATGCTGTGAGCACTATGTCCCTGTGCATGGGGGGCTCGGCGGAGATTGTCGAAGTTGTAAAAATAATGATGCTGTGCAGTCGAAGTTGTAAAAATAATGATGCTGTGCAGGACCCACTAGAATGATGTCGTGGAAACTGTCTTTGTCGTCCCGTAACATGTGCACCCACAAGCTTCAGGCAACACAATGACAGCGACTAGTACAGATGTGCCTGAGGGAAAGAAAGATGTTTCTTTGATGCATGCAGCCTATAGTTCATTAGTTGGGCTGGGGGGTTCTTACTTGTCCGAAACTTTATCACCAATATCCATCTATTTATATATATACACTGCTGGCCTGTCTCTGTCTAGGCATTCATAGACTAGGACAGTACATAACAACAGAAAAGCAAGAACAAACTACACCTGCATCCTTTATGATTTAAAAGCTTGATTCCAGGTATGTACAATATTGCCAGCCCCCCCCCCCCCCCCCGACTTCAAACTGCAAAAGGATTACGAGGTGAGAAGGGTATGATCATGGGCCACGGGGTTGGTTGGGGTTTTGTTTCCTATCAGCTGATCGTTCTCATTATGTACTATAGACACAGATGCTCAGTGTTTGGTCGGTGACGAGGATACCAAACAGCAACCAGCAACCCTACAGGGGCGGGATAAGACTTAGGGTGTGTTATCTTACGAGTTCAGCTGAGCCTCGCAGCATCGTATGATTTCATCTGGCCCTGGGCCTGCATGTCCGTAAGGCTCGTGTACGAGTCGTCCAACATCTTGGCATCATTCTCCAAGGTAGCGATGCTCCTTGGCGATGGGATTACATTCGAGTTTGTGGTTGTCTGAATTCCGAGGGCATGGTTTCATATTGAAACAGGTCTCGCAGTGGCCAGAGGGTCATCGTACTGTTTGGCTAGCTCACGGCAGAGGGCACGGATTTTGGCGCTCTTGGCCAGCACACTGTCAATGAACTTGCGGAAGGCTTCTTTGGCTTTGGTGGCCTCTAGCTTACTTATGGGTGGAGCAGAGCACAACTTAGGATCAGTGGTGGATTCTCATCTCATCCCCCCAACCTCGCTGGCCGCTTGGACGGCAGGAGCGTGGTTGGCGTCGATGCGGTTTCTGTAGTCATCAAGACCAGAGAAGTCATCGTCGATAGCAGCACGGCGCTCCTGCAGTGTTGTTCTTGCTGTGTTTGAAGCATGAAGACCCTGTGTAGGTAGACCACAACTCTGTATACACAGTATTACAATTGGACCCAATCCTGGATGTTCTGACTGATCCGCTGCTCCCTCTCTTCGGCCACCTCCCGGACACCCACCTCTCGAACCTGGACCCAGAACTCGTTCTCACCGCCATACTTGGAGGACCTGAAGCAGCACACAACATGGATTGGCCCGGCTAGTTTTGTTTGCTAGACTTCTCGACCCTCTGATCCACTCTGTAGATATGTTCGCATGAAGGCACATATATAAGATCGACCATATAGTCACATCGTATACACACAGCACGTGCGCGACTGCATGTTTGACATGCACCAAACATGCAGATGCTGTGTGTAGCAAGAAGCATACATGTACATACATCCATACAGACATGTGGCTAGCAGCTAGCACATTCGAAATCCAATCTTCAAACCACGATCCCCAACATGACCCCTGCATGCCGTACCTGACCAAGGCCGTGGGGTTCGCCTCGCATGCACGAATCGCGCCGGCGATCTTCTTCCTCGGGCTTCCGATGCTGACATGAATTTAAGCAGCTTCTACTATAATCCCTAAACCCTATAAACCCTAGTTTAAGTCAGATAGACAGAAGGTATATAAGTCCGCAACTGCAGTACTGCTACCTAGATATCTAGCCCAGAAAGGCAACAGGAGCTCCCGGAGAGAGACACACCAGATACAATAATCTAGACATGCAGCGGGGGCCTTATAACCCAAAACCAGGAGAGATGGAGAGAGATGGTATGGTGGAGACTGAGAATGATTCCACAACAATAATTTTTTTTAATCATCATCATAATCATTACCATCACCGCCATCATCAAAGATCTATACAGGTATCTCACTGGTGTGTATGTATGTTAATATATATATATGTATATTTATTTGTTTATTTATATTTATATAATTATTTATGTTTGTGTATAGATGTATACATACATATATATACACACTTACATACATGTACACACATATATTGTATGTGCGTGTGTATATATATATACACTAATTCTTATAGATCAACAGAGTGATGTTTTGTATACAGCAGGGAGCTTTGACTATACAAGTAGTGTGGAGCCAATATAAACCTATGTACATATACAGACTGTGCAGCAACGTCACGTATCGAGATCAGAATGAGAGATGCAGAGATGTAGACGAGCGAGATAGATAAAGAGAAAGAGAGAGGGGAGAGAGAGAGAGAGAGAGAGGTGTATATGTATATGCATAAATAAACAAATAAATGTATATATATATATATGTATGTATGTATGTATGTATGTATGTATGTATGTGTGTATGTGCAATATTGTAAGCTTGCGAAGAAAAGCACCTCACACAAGCCAATCTCAAGTATATTGCAGACGAGGGCTCGGGTTCCAGTGCAGAACCCGTGCCATGTCCTCCTTGGAGTACCACCCCTCCTCGACAGAGCATTTCTTCGTGTCCTTCCGGGCGATGCTCTTTTGCACGGCCGTCACGAAGGCATCCTTCGGAGATCTTCGTGACACTAACCATTCCTTTACTCTAGTAATTCAAGTCTTCGGGTACTCTAGTCTATGCATGGGCCTAGGATGAAGCTAGATTTGTTGTCTGTACAACAGAATGCTGAAGTGTTGGTTACGATGGAGATCACCAAAGCTTTCACTCTATTCGGCTTCAGGGTAACTACAGCCGAGCAATTACAAGTGTTGTATGCAGTTTTTGTTCCGTACAGAAATCAATCCACGTGACAGAATGGATACAGATTTTAGCAAGTTCGATCCTTGTCGTAGCCTGATTCCTCGTACTGAAGGGAAAGGGCGGTGTGGTTGCCAGCCTTCCACAGATCATGGAGCCACTGTGGCACAGCCAACGTTCCATTCTTGCGGCGCTGGCAAAGCCGACGGAGCTTTGCATTTCTTGCACCCTGCTCTTGCGCACCCGTGGCGCAGCACCGGAGCCGGAGGGCTTGCTGGACTTAGCATTGTCCTCATCATCATCATCATCCTCTTCTTCATCGTCCTGTCCATGTGGTTCCACACACTTGAGAAGTAGTTAATCTGTCCCATGTCTAGGTAACAGTAATCGTGAATGCTAGAACATGATACCACCTGTCCTCCACCGGACAGTCATTGGGGGGCCCTCGGTCGCTTTCGTGAGCATCACCCTTCTTCTCATCATTGGCAGCAGCTTCTTCGGGTTCGGGCTTGTAGGTGGATCGGGCCGCTTCGGGCTCGGGGTTCTCGGTGGTTCGGGATTTCTTCTTGTCAGGGCTACAGCCTGTCACCCGGTAACCCAAGACCGCACTTGCTGTATCCAAGGACATCGTTCCCTGCATGACCATCTTGCAGACGCGGGTCTCGAGCTCGGCTAGCTCCTTGATTGCACACAGAAGCATCGAGAAGGAATCTCAAGCAACACAAAACAACAGATAAAAACAATAACAGTTGCAGCCCGAACCATGCATCAGGCAACGAATACGATAGCTACATCTGAAGCTAACCAAGCATAGTGTCCTGGCTCTGCGCACTCGTAGCCAGGGAAGAGGGGGAGACGGAGCGGGGTGGGGTCGCGGTGCTTGCCTCACCCAGCTTCGCTTCCTTGTCCAGGTCAAAGGCCTTATGTATGTTGCATATTTCAGCCGAGGGGTTTAGGGTTTATAGGGTTTCGGGGTTTAGGGTTTAGGGTTTATAGGGGTTTAGATAGGTATTGTATGTATAAGAACATGAGATGCTGCATGCGAGGACATGTTGCAGAACAGTGCATGTTGGTGTGAAGACCAGGGGCCGGCTGCGTCTCAGCATTCTGGTTCTGCAGCATCTTCTCCTGTGAAGACAACCAACATGGGATATCTAGTATGGCTGGCTAGTGCTACAGCAGCAGCCGAGGTATGGCTTCGATCTCTGCAGTATATATATGGCCTGCATTTCCAGATGCTGAAGCTGCTGTTGCATCTCCTGCAAGGACCGAGGGGAAGCATCGGTTGGGCCAGAGAACAGTCAAACCTCTAAGATATAAAGACGATTCCGTTGGGGTATGACATTGGGCGTGTGCTGAGCCCGCACCTCCATTTCACGGATCTCGGCGGGGTCGAGCCCTTCTTGCGCAACCTGCTTAATCCCTTCCTGCAGCTCCGAGCAGCTCCACTTCCTGGATTCAAGCCTGTTGTCTTTCCCAGATTTCCGGGATTTCACCATCTTAAGTGAGCAAGGGATCTCAGGGTGGCAGGGTGTGGGACTCTCTGCTATGCAAGCCTCAAAACACCTTGTCGGTCGACTATGAACTGTGCAGGACCAGCGACAGCAACTCGAACAGCGTGCGGCACAGTGGCAATCAGCTGCTAAATGCATGAGGCAGCATGCAACTGAGCTAGCATGATCCTGCAAATGGGCATTGATTTTTTGTTAGCACCGACAAGCTTGTCAATGATCATTGCAGCCCGCACAGACCAGCTCCAACCTGCCTAGATCCTTCGAGAGTTGTAGGACACTAGACGAAGCATGCTATTCTTGTTCTATCTCTAGATTGAAGATAACTCACTGTGTTCTGAGGTGATGCTGCGACAGTCTACAAAAATGCTACTTCATATAATACATCATAGGAACAGTCTACTATCATGCTACTTCATATATAACTTCATAGACTTCATATACAACTTCATATGCTTCATATACAACTTCATACAACTTCATAGGAACAGTCTACAACTTCATATACTTCATATACAACTTCATACAACTTCATAGGAACAGTCTACAACTTCATATACTTCATATACAACTTCACACAACTTCATAGGAACAGTCTACCATCATGTTATTCCATATATAACTCCATAGGATCAGAACAGACAGCCTTGGGTCGCGATTGCAGCATATATGGACTGGCTTAGCATAAACACAGAGTAACCGGAAGCAACCACCACCAAAAGTGAGCAACAGCTAACACAACTGTGTCTTAGTGTGTATGATTTAGCATCAAAATAACCCATAAAATTTTACGGGTTAGTTACGGCTTTTTACGGGTAGGTTACGCTTAAAATACGGGTTGGGAAAATACGGGTTAAGGAATTACCGGGTTTCGGGTTATGCGGTTACGGGTGAATACGGGTAAAATACGGGTGAATACGGGTTGGTTACGGGCATTACCGGGTTTTTTTTGTACTTGGCTATGTTAAAGTCTATGATAACTATATTATCATGTAACTTAGACAGCGAAAACCAGAGTTGGAACAGCCAGGGCCCAAGCTTTCTCTTCTAATTGTATAGTACGACGAACACGGCTCCCAGCAGCCCGGGCTGCTTCTGTCCAAGCCGAAACCTCTCAGCTGCTACGTACTCATACGAAAGGAGAAGCACCTAAACCCTATACCCTAAACCCTAAACCCCCCTAGCTATACTGAATACATCAGATGCCCTCAGAGCAAACCAGAAGCCGAGCCCCTCTCTTTGAATTAGGTTTATCTCAAACTGTACTGTACATTGCACAATGCACCATGTGCATACTCTCAGCTGTAGACAGCTCAGAGTGAAGTGGGCAGCAAAGGACGGAAAACTTCTGGGATTCGTAACGAAGTGCCTCCCCGAATGTACCGGATGCAGTCAGTCATGCAGGCATCATCCCACATATCATCATAAGCCATCGAGCTAAAGGTATCCATCGCTGACGGCACTTCGTCCGGCAGCTGGGGCGTGCCTTTCTGAGAGGCCAGCACCTGGTCGTGGAGCTCCACGAGTCGCAACCCGAATTGGGGTGGATAATGCCTGGGCTGAGAGTCAAAGGGTTATCTTTAAAGGGCTCCATGGGGCAACACAAACAACATCAGAGAGCTGGGATCTTTGGGAGGTGTGTCGCGAGGACAATTATTCCGAGCCCAGAAGTTGAGTTCTTGCGGGAGAGGGGCAGTAGGCTTAACAAAGGGTTGTTCGGGGATAACCTACCCTAGCAAGCCTTCTATAACCCTATGTCAAGACTATGTGGAACCCTCAGAAATCTGTATATCCCACCGAACCCATAAACAAACATCCTCGCAAGTACAAACACATGTACTGTGTGGTCTGCTGGAAGGGTACAGCACACACACAAAAGAGCTAAATTTCTGAGGACACTACTCCGTGGGCTTGAGGTTCTTGTTTCCATGGAACCGCTTCACTCCACGAGCATCTAAATATCGGTGGCTTGTACGAACTCTGTCCGGGTGAGTCCTGCAATACTCCTTCCAATTCCGAAGCGGCCCCTTGTAGAGCAGGCTTATGGCACTTGCATTTGCGAAAGCCCAGTGCGGCTTTGGCGTAGGAGCTCCATAATGCCACATATAACACGTCACTTTGGTAACCTTGGATATTGGGCGCAGGGACATATAAAGCTAATGTGCCAGGTTTGGGTTCCGAGAAGAGTAAACTACACATGCACGATGGCCATTCCTGGCCTCTCCATACTTGTATGTATATCGACAGTCGACAGGGGGATAACATCTGATTATCATTTCCAACACAATACCGCAGAGGCTTATCAAGCACGATGGACCACACAGCACAGGCTACAATCTAGAACAGCCAATTTATGCGCGGGGCCCAGATGTCCATGGATCGCACAAACTCTTAAGTTCACATGGAGCTTGCTACATCTCCTTGTCTCTATAAAGTTTAAGTACCTACAGTACCGCATGATGTCGCAACATGACTAGATGCCGACCTCCACGGCATGCACCGTCCCATGGCAGCCCCATACCCAGCCCTGGATAGAAACAATAAGCCCAGGACAGATGGACATCATCAACCCTGGACCGACCTGGACAAGTCGTCGCGACGCGTCCTCGAATCGTTTCTCGGTCGATTCGCAGAGCCATGCAGTGTGGGAGGATCTCGTCTTGCAAACGGTAGATTGCACAAGATGTCCAAGGCCGTCGGAGAACTATGAACCCTTACATCACCTACCAACGAGCAATTCCGAGGTACACAGATCGACCCTTGAATATCCCAAATACGAGTTTAGCTGTCTGTGTAGTGCTGCTTTGCCATTGACACTCTGAAGTAGCCTAGATGTAGCAGCCTCCCATGGAGCACCCGACAGCATGACACATTAACCCAGACATATACATGTAGAATGGGAAGGAAGCAGTCCTAGATGTGCACAGAAGCCCATACACATGTCTAGATACCCCAGTCCAGCCATGGCAGGATACATGCATGTTATGTAGATCATCTATCAACATTCTAAGTGATCTGAGATCCCTTCGCCCCCCGTCACCACCCTCCATATAAGCTTAAGCCCTATAAACCCTAAACCCTACAAACCTTATAAACCCTAAACCCATCAAGAGCCCCTGTGTCTTCTACCCGACAACCTTCCATCTCCAGGCAACTACATAGAAACCGTTCCGAACCTCGACGCCTGGTTTGTGAAGTATGGCGGGGGATGTGGAGCAGGCTTTATAGGACTGAGGGTTGGGCTGATTAAGGGTGAGCTTTGGCTGCTTTGATCAGACACACAGGAAGAAGTTTGGCTGGTTGGATGTCACATAAGCCTAATTTTCAGATTCACATCTAGCACACATACTTTAAAGTTGGGACACAGGTAGTAAGCACCTAGGCCAGATCAGTGCCAAGCACATCTTTATCGAACAACACTTTGAAAGGGCTACTACAAACACCTTCATCCAAGCTAGAATCCTGCCTGAGATGACCCATTGAAAGTCTAGGCCTTCTAAGAATGAATTTCGCAACACATCTAGCAGTACTATAGCACTGCGAAGCTGCGCCTACAACCCTTGCCCTCCGAAGGCAAGCACCCCATTCCCACAGTCCAGTGCTCAGGTACCCTAACCTATATAGACAAAACACACATGCATGAGACCTCACCTTGCTGTTAGATACATCGTGTGATGCTACCTAGGCTGACACATGTACATGTACGTGCTTCATACTACATCCTACCCTGCAGTCTCGTAGCCATGTCATTGCACGACATCAATGCAAGCAATGGGTGCACCATAATCTTCATATGCAGTAACTATCTAGATAAATAAAGTGTAAGCTAGACTAAACAGCTCATATGCATTCATACCATGTGCAGACACGTGCTCACACAGGAAGTGGGCAAGGTCTTGAACTAGAGGAACACATACATGCTACAGGACCATTGAGTATGGGGTCTGGTGAAGGTTTTCTTTGTGGTCACCGGAGGCTGAATGTTTAGAGGGACGTTCTTGTGATTTCTGAAATGCAGCACAGGATCTATAGTGGCACAGATGCAAGCATTATATACACTGCATGACATACACATACTGGTCTCCTCCTATTGTCTAGTTTGTCAGAAACATCGTCATCAAAGCCTCGGCCCAGTAACCCACACCCAATATTAACTTTAACTATGCGTAGGACCATCCCAAGAGATTCTAGATTCAAAGCCTTGAGAGAAGCTGGCCAGCTGAAGCCCCAAAGAACAGGACACCGAAACAAGCCTTGACCAGTATGATTACTAAGTCCCCCCATACTACAAACCCGTGGCAGGCCGAGCTACTGCACCTTCACCCAGTGCCTGCATAATCCAGCGGAAGCGCGGGTAATACTCCAGGAAACTGCCGCTTGGCTGCTCAACAGACCATACTCCGGACATGGCTGTCACGACCAGCAGCAACAACGACATCCTTAGCTGGTTGTCTAATCACCATGTTTGATGTAGAAGCCAGTGGTAAGAGTGTGAAGGATGATCCAACGAGAGCAACACGAACACTGAGAAGAACAACAAGTGATGGTTTCCCTTCTGTTGACAGACTGCTTGCGTAGATCGTACACAGCTATGTAATGCGTCAAAGCATCCTCGAAGCCATACAGTTACCCTCCTGTACGAAAGCATGATCCTGGTTACCCAGAGCCGTGCAAATCGACCTTCCAGACGTCCCCTGACTCATTTGACTCCAGCTCCCGCACTTGATGCCAAAATGACACCAGAACCCCCGAGGATCTCCTCTCAGCACCATGGACAAAGCCAACCTGGGATGGGCCACTTATCGACATATCGAACTAGTTACCCTGTACATGCCGGAACTAGAGCTCGAACCTACAATCATGCGCACCGAAGTGTCATCTAAAGAGAGCACCGAGATGCAGGAAGCCTGATGGAGTCAAGATGTCCATGTAATTCTGCTTTCCAGAGGGTGCAATGTGATATTTGTAGTCTAGCTTGACCGCACAATGCCCCGCATACCTCATCATTCGTGTTGCCTCAGCGTTGCCTGCAAACATCTCGATGAAGCTGTAGTGGCCACAGTCCTGGCACACGTCATGGGTGATGATGCTTCTACATGACGGATGGTGGGGCTTTCTACTACCAAGTCCTGTGCTATTGGCGGTTGTAATGGGGGGGGAAGTGAGTATGAAATCCGTGGGCACTTGTCACTGTGTATATGCATCTATGTGTATGTATGTATGTATATATATATATAATTAATAGATAGATAGATAGATAGATAGATATAGATAGATAGATAGATAGAGGGTGAGCGTGGCATTGTTGCACTAAGTTGAGTATATATATATATAGGTGTTTCGAAACGTGTTTGCACAGGATCAGTAGGGATGTTCTAGTGAGGTTCAGGGGTTCTCCTTGCCACTGTCCTCGCTCCAATCAAGGGCCCGTGGAAACTCTGTATCTAGAAGCCTCAGACGTTGTATAAAGCCACAGAACTTCTAGAGCCTAACAAGCCCGGACCGTTATCTCGGAGTAGGCAGCAACTCTAGGACACTAGGAATAACCAGAGCGATGACGAATAAAAGATCCCAATATCCCAGGCCTACCAGTTCATCGAGCTGCTAAACTGCTACACCCTGACGAGACGAACTGATGTTCTACCAGCAGCTACTCGGCTAAAGCAGAGGACACGTGGAGATGCGGAATATGTACATATATATATACATACATATGCATGTGCGCATGAGTATGTAGACGTGTAGCAGGTGTCTCGAGAAGCACACTTATGCTGTCTATGTCCGATGTGGCCACATACAAGGCCTAAAGGTAGCCACCAGGTAGGTACAACATGAGCATGAGTATGCATTTACACATGCGTGACCATAGGAAGATGTGCCTAGCATAGTCAGATGGCCCCGAGAAGAAATAAGCATTAGGCTAGGCATGGTTGGACTACAGACCAAGATCAATGAAGCGTGCAGCCTTATAACTGCATGCAGCACCATGCACTACTACATCCCAGTGCGAGAACACCCGAAGACTAGTTAAGCATCATGCATCCTGTCATCACAACCACACATGCGCGGTTACTTTTCATGACTTGTGCATTATGTAGGCCTGTAGCAGACCATCTGGGCCTGATAGATCCGTTGGACATCAGAGTGATCAAGGCTTTCTACAAAATATACCAGCCCTCATCCCTAAAGCTTGAAATTAGAGGATCCCCTGCACCCATCAACACAAGGCCCTCTAACAAATGGAGAAACAGCTTCGACGGTTTGTGGTTTGGGACCTAGCCTGCGACTCGGCTTCGTGGAACTCCGTCCACATCAACAAGAGAATCGCGAGGAGAAGTACCTTGGCAGTGGCTATGCTTGTCCACCATAGTCTCGCATGCATGTAGACACGCATACACTGACATACACACTTACACCCTTCCATGGTACCTAGGTAGGCACATATCTGTATGTAACCATACATAAAGGTACAACTGCATGTGTATATATATGTATATATATATATAGAGAGAGAGAGAGATGTGTGTGTACATGCGTGTTATGTCATTATCGCTAGAGATAGATGAAGCTTTCTACGTCTGTGTCATGTACCTCTTCTGTTCCTATATATATATATACATATATATATATGTATAGACGGCCCATACATACACATATATATATATATACACATATTCATTTGTATATACATATACGAATGAATATGTGTATATATATATATGTGTACATGTGCATGTGGGTAGCCATGAAAGTATGTGTGTGAACTGTCTGTCTATCTGCTCTATCGACCTGACAATCGATCTCTCTCCCTCTCTCTCTCTCTCTCTCTCTGTCTCTCTCTCTCTCTCTCTCTCTATATATATATATATAGGCGAGCTGGCTATCTGTCGATGTAACTTTCTATCTACTTATCTATATCTATGTACCTATCTAACTATCTGTTTATATATCTATCTATGTGGCTAGCTAGCTACCTAGCGCTCCATCTGCATGTCTATGCATTTGCCCATCCATGCCTGCTCTCCAGTATATGTTTGTATGACTACACCGTTCTGTTCGTATCTTCGTATTCATCGATTGGTCTAGGTATATGTATTTCTGTATCTGTGCATATATATATATACACAGGTATATATATATATGCGTGTATGTATGTTTATGTTTATATGTATATTGGATATACGAACACACATACACAGACACACACACACACACACACACGCTTCAGCTCTGTGTGTGGATGTGTGCACATATAACAGAGCGGGAATGCACCTACATATCTATATACATACAGAGGATATGCATGTGCAGATGTGTCTACATCTATGCAACGTACACACATATGTATATGTGTGTATGGTATGGTATGGTATGGTATGGTAGGTCTGTGTGTATCTGTATATGTACATGTATAGGTTATATAATGTATATGTATATGTATATGTATATGTAATGTATATGTATATGTATATGTGTATGTATATTTGTGTGTGTGCATGTGTATGTGTGTGTATGTGTATGTGTGTGTATGTGCATGTCTGTGTGCATGTGTGTATGCGAATGTCTAGTATGTGTGTGCATGTTCTAAGACATGTTCACCCATCTCTCTCTCTCTCTATATATATATATATGTGTGTGTGTGCGCAGCTTTGTCAATGCTTGGTCTGGCTGGCCATACAGCAGGCTAAGTAAATTTCTGCACGATAAGCGACTTTATGAATCACTCTAGCCGATATGAACAGGCTTCTGTAAGCTTTGGGTCAATGCTGCTTAGCTAGGAAATACAAGCTGAAGCGCACTCATAGGCACTTTCCCCATAGATAGACCCAAACATCGAGAGTACTACAAAGTCTTGGGCACAACACATGTAGCCGCCTAGCCTCCCCACCTATAGACTGGCTTTTCGGGGCCCTATTGACATTGAAGTTACCTTTGCTGTGCTGTCGTTAAGCTAACAACCACAAGTATACATTCTTAAGGGGAATGCAAACAATTTCAGGAGAACACAACTCAGGACATCAGGATGTGGTGCCGGTAACTATAGAGTCCTGCTAGGATATACTGTCGAGCTGTGTCACCTTCGGTGCCCCAAGAACACGCAGGCGATAAAGCAGGGCATCCAGATCCATGCCGGGAATTTCCGGAATGTGACTCAGGAGTCACAGCACAGGCCACACCCCAATACAACAATGGATCTAGGCATAACCTGGCATAACCCATGGCAGTTAGCTAGACTGGTAAGAACCACGGCAATGGACCCATTGACAGAGACACCATATCTGTAGGCACAGGTAGCCAGATATCATGAATCCCACTGCTGCTGCTGCTGCTGCTGCATTCCAGACATGACACATACAGCGAGCAAGCCACATGAAACCAAGGACGATTTGCCGCTCTACTGGACTGCCGCTCTACTGGACTCGCGACTATGCCAGCTGCTGACTCTCGGCAATCTGCAAGAACACATCAGGCAGCATGACCCACATCTATGATCATATGCAGACACCAGTCTAGAAGTTGCAAGTCGACTTAACCTAACACATGAATGGTAGAATACTGCCCCTGGCAATTGAAGATGACACACGGTTTAGGGTTTAGGAGTTTAGGGTTTACAGGTTTAGGGTTTATGTAGGGCTTATATATAAGGTTTAGGTTAGGATTTAGGGTGACTGTCTGTAAAGCTGCATCTATAGGGACCAAATTAAATGATTGACCCAGAACTTAGCAGAACACACTGTAAAGCGTGGCCAGCCAGACACTCATCGTCCGCCAGAACCCCCAGCTTCGCAAACTTCCGCTTGCCCCGTAGGCTGGGCATAGCGATGCCACAGATGAGACCTAGGCAGTGCAATGCATGTTAGCATGATTTTTTGCAGTAGGCTCGCCAACACTATGTAGCGGCTAACGGAGGCAAATCACAATCCATGAGAGGCGTGCAGCAGCAGAGTTCACATGTTGTTTTTTCTCCATTTCCCAGATCTTCCGATTGTCCTGTCCGCATGACCAGACTTCGCTAGCCCATGTAGCCACGCAGACCCCTACGAAATTAAATCGCCGATGGCACACATCACACCCCCAGCGCACGTGGGAAGACACACGCACACAGCTGGCTGATCTAAGGAGCGTGTTCTAATGTGCGCCGGTCCCTGGCGAAGAAGACTGCATCGAGATGCAGGGTCCAGGCTGATCGAGGCTCTGAATAATCAACTTAGAGTCTATGTAGGTCCCATGATTCACAAGGGTTGCTACTTGGAGGCTTGTGGAAGTAGACGGATGCAAGCATGCTGTCATCACAGAACACCACGATCATCATAGCCTCAGCCTAGACACTCAGCTGCACGATTCAGTTTGTGTCCTCCAGCAAAACATCTCTCAGGGCGCTCAGGGCACTAGCATACACCACTGCAAGATTGGTCTGGAAATGCCCCCGGGGATCATCGACTCGCTTCAAGTCGAAAATCGGGTGGTCTGGCTCGCTTTCCTCCAGGATCTCCGCCTGGGATGTGTGCAAGGATTGTGTAACACACATGTATGCAAGCCCCATTCATATTATGATGTATGCAAGTGCTTGGCATGTGTGGGCTGTATGCATGTGTGTGTACATATATATATATATGTATATATATATATATATGTGGCTCTCTCTTTGTGTGTGCCCGTGTGTCTGTGTTGTAGCATAGATATGTAGTTAAGCAAGTCTACAGCTATGTATAGGCACACCTGCTCGATATGTGTGCACATACATGGGCATGTGTGAGCATGCAGGAGTGCGCGCGTGAGCATACATGCATGCCTTCATGCACATATACAGATTGTACGGTCCATGCATATCTGCATATTCACACATCCAAAATTACTATCTTTTGCACTCAGCTTGTATGTGTAGCTTTATATATATATACATATATATATATATATATGTTTATAAAAATGTGTGTATATATAAATATATATGTATATATGTACATACATGTGTGTGTGTGCCGTTACTCATGTGTACACTCCATTGTAACATATGTATATATATATATACATGT